TTATTAATAATAATAATAATAATAATAATAATATGCATTATTATACAGGATTTATACAGAACCAACAGTTTGCAGAGCACTTTATATACTAAAGGGAGACATTACAGTTACATTATAATTCCATACTAAAGGATAAGGAGGGCCCATCAAGCTTACAATCTAAAAGGAGGGGCAAGTGATACAAAAGGCAATAACTGTGAGAGATTAGTTAACTGAAGGCATAGAAATACAGTCATTAAAGGAGAACTATGAGGTGAGTGAAAATCACTCATCCTCCTAGTTGGAGCCGACGTGTCACACGTCAGCTCAATAGATCGGGAAGTGAGCAAACGCATACTGTCGCTCGTTCACTTCTCGATCATCTCCCTGCAGAGAGCCGTGACTGCCACTCCGCGCAGGGATTCTCTCTGTCCTGGCTGCGGCGGTCTCAGTATACCGCAAGCTGTAGCTCGCGGTATACTGAGCTTTGGGCCACGGGAGACACTAGTATATGTCCTCCCGTGACCCTTAAGAGAACTATGGGGAAAAACACTAACCCCATAGTTCTCTTTTAAACGAAGGTGGCATAGGCTTCCCTTAAAAAAAAGAGAGTTTTCAGGGCCGACATAGTAAGAAATAGCTAGATAGATTGGGGTATGAGCTCCAGAGGATGGGGGAGTCATTTACCAAATGATAAAAAAATAAACAATGCTGCTACTATAGTCTTGTGTTCTCTTTGTGATAATGGATTAGTAATTTGGGGCTGTTTCACAAAGAATGATAGAAATGTGCAAAAAAAAGTCAACCAATACGTAATCCTCTTTCATTATCCGAACTGCAGCAAACTAATACCTGATTGGTTACGGGATATGTATGGTCTAATGTCCTTTACAAAATATAAAGGTTCCCACAATTTTTCACTGAATAATCCTGTCAATGTATTGTCTATTTGAAAGGGTTATTCACAAAAGGGTGAAGAGTTTGGAGATGGCAGAAGTGAACAATCTAGAATAAAATAGCTGATTTGGAAAAATCCTCCAATTCAGCTCACTTTCCACTTCAGCTATTTTGTCCTAGATTGTTCACTTCTCCTGCCTTCTCCAAACTCTTTACCCTTTTGTGAATAGCTGTGCAATCCCCCTTTACCACTCTTCAGAAAACACTGCCTGTGTAATTCTGTCTTGGTATAGTTATAACAATACTGAGTTTGTCTGACAGAAGAAAATAGTTTAACTGGATACAAACTATAGCAATTCTGCTAAAAGCAAATCACTTTATGTTATTGGAAGTTCAATCACTACATTTAAAGAACAGTGACATGAAGATTTGATTTTTGGCTCTGGGGTGGAAAACATAAAATGTGAATTAAATTTACCTCTGTAGCTGCGATCCAGTTATCATCTGCTGTACAATTCAGATCCCAGTATTTGCACTGGTCTCGGCCCACTTCCAGCCCCTGATTGTCACTCTGCAGTGTCCTGTGTGTCAGGAATTCCCAATAGATCTCTGTAAGACCAACTATTCCAATATGCAGTCTGCAGAACAATGCTCGGGAAAAGGGAATGTGTCTGAGACCCGTGACCTGAATTGTACAGCAAACGGTCTCTGTATTACAGCTACCCAGGTAAAAATGTTTTGCAGCTTAACACTTACCTGCCAGATTCTAACTGGATATTTATAAGGTTAGCCTTTAAAATCTAAATGAGCCAGTTTAAAAACTTACCTGTACAGCCACCATCCTCGTATCCATAAAATCCTTGGGCACAGACATCACACTTAACTCCTGCCACTCCACTAACGCATGGGCACTGACCGGCATCATCGCACACTCCAGAGTTTGAACCCGATAAGCTACAGTTACAAGGCAGGCAGCCAAGGCCAGATGTCAAGCCATAGAACCCAGGCTGTAAATAAAAACATTGAATCAAACGTTATAGAGATCAAAGAAAGGAAATCAGTTATAAACTGATGCTTATAAAATATATTTACAGTCATTTCCACCAAGCACGTATAAATGAATCAAGGTCAAAGTCATAAGTAAAGTATAACATCAGATATAGCTTACAAACTATGCTGCCTGAATGAGTATTTTGAAAACCATAATACATTTCAAATTAAAGTGTAATTGCAGTTATTTGCCTTGTTGGATGTAGTGGGGAAGGGATAGGTCTGTATTGCTGTCTGTGTCCTTAACAAAAAGATTAATCCATACATTCTGTCCTGGAGATTATTGTCTTCTAGGCAGAAGGGAAGATAAATCCCTAGAATTTAAAAGAGAATTCAAAGCCAACCTTATTTTCAGTTTTACTTCTATTTTGGGTCACCAGCACAGGATCCCAACAAAAAAATTATGTTGGAATACACCCAGCTGTCGGATTGAAAGCTGGCTCTGCCTCTCTAGAGCCAGAACCAGCTGTGCCCACTCCCTCCCCATCTGTCCCTCCAATGAGTTCTGGAGAGAGAGAGAGGGGACAAGGGAATACCTGTGGGAAGTGGTGGCTGACAGTATCTTCTCTATACAAGAAGAAGGCTGTGGCCTGGTTCACACCTGGGCGTTTTACAGCGCGTTCCTACCCGCTGTAGAACGCTCAACATGTGAAAACCAATAATTGCCTATGGGCATGGTTCCCACCTGGGCGTTTTACAGCACGTTCCTAGGAACGAGCTGAAAAATGCCCTACGCCCAAAGAAGTACAGGAGCTTCTTTGGGGCGTATTTGCCGTGCGTATCCATTAGGATACAGCCGGACAGCCCTCGGAAACGGGCGTTTGTGGCGCGTTTCTTTTACCGCAAATCGCAGTAAAAACGTGCATATTCCGTACGCCCAGGTGTGAACCCAGCCTGTGAGATGAGTGATCAGCAGTTTGTGATTGCTCAGCTCTCAGTATATAGAGCTGGCGTGTGACAGCTACAGTGTTTCACACACCGACTCTCAGTATTGGGAAGAGTACATTTTACTCTCTTTAATAACAGCAGAGCAAAGTTTGAATATTTATAGGCAAAGTATGGCTTTGGGAAATTTTTATTATTTCTCGTCACCCCTCTTTTTTCCCTGGTTCACTGTCTTTGACTGGCTGGGCCAGGGTGAAATAATTCTAGCGCATGCTGGCGGCAGTTAATTCATCCCAGCACATTATATCATTATATGTGGTCTCATCCAAAATACCAACTCACTTGAAGACTATTAGTCCATGTGGACTGCCTTTGACATTATTTGTAGCTCAGGTGTTTTATTATCTAGTCGTAGTCTAACATAAGCTCCACATCAGCAGAAATAGGAGTCTAAAGGTGCCCATACACCTTACAATTATCTGCAGATTTTCTGTGGTCAGATGGAAAAGGTGCAACAGATTGGCCCAGGTGGAGATTACTCCTTGCACACAGTTAGATGGAGGAATCTGTTGCCCCTTTTCCATCCGACCATAGAAAATCTGCAGATAATTGTAACGTGTATGGCCAGCTTAAGACACTCTACTACCTAAACACCTCTTATCCCACTGCATAATAATCCACAAATACAATAAGCTGAAGAGCGCAACTACCCAAATAAATACTGAGCAGCCTGATGTAACTGGCTGAATGGTTTAGATTACAGTAGTAGGTGTGTGACTTACAGTCAAGATGTCCTGAATTGGCACCAGGAGTCAGGTCAGCGGTACTGGTCTGTAGAATGCCGGACTGATATGATCAGAAATTGTCCCCAGTCCGCGTACTCGGCTGCCCAGGCCGAGCTGCGACAGCTGGAGCATGAGAAGGAGAACTGCCCGGCGGCTGAAATACACACTGAGCAGTGCGTTGCTGTGCTTTGTGTGGAGCGATCAATGGGGGATCCAGTGAGTGTTGTCAGTCAGTGCTTGTTTGTCCGAGGGAGATGTACTGTACTGTGAAAACCACATGCAAGCTGAATTGGCGGTAAGCAGGCTACGCGTTTCGAGGGTAACCCTCTTTGTCAAGCCTTAGAGTGGTGTAAGGTGGCGGGAAACTACTGTCTTTTAAAGTTGACAGGGGGGAGGAGTCAGATCCGGATTAGTGCTGTGATAGGCTGAGGCGCCGGAGGACGGACTGTCAGTCTCCTGGGCACCCAGGAGATGATTTCTCAAGATCTCTCGCACTCTGATCTAATTGTCATTCTGGGGCCCATGTGTGATCTTTATCATAATATTGGCTATTATCATAGATTATTCCAAATGGGTATTACTGATTGTGCATATCGGATGGTCTGTTGCTGAACCCCTAAGAAATAGGTCTCATATCAAAAAGAGATTTATTTAAGATACTATATTACATTAAAAGTGGAACATAAAATGGCATGTAGAAAACCTGCATCATGATGTGAAATGTAAAAAATACATAAAATATATAAAAAGTATATATAGGAAAATGTGTAGGTGGAGAATACATTAAAAAAGAATAAAACTGTCAAATGTATTTAAAAATTGATTAAAAATTGGTGATCATTCACCATTGGAAAAAAAGAAATGTAGTTCTAAACCTATTATAAGGTGACTACCTACTCCCGATATGAATATTGGTGGTAGCACCATTTTACATATAGGTCCACCTGGTTCACCCAAAGAGCAAGTCGGGGAACCTATGGACAGCTGATGGATTATGTGCCAAGGCCTGGCGTTTTGCCTACTTAAACAGGATCTCCTCGGTGTGTGTGTGCACACTAACATCTACGAGTCAGGGTGCTAACACACCACTATTGTTGTTTATAATCCTTCATAACCTGCATCCCAAGACAGGGAAAAAACAACAACATTTTGTTCTGGTGAATGGAGACACACTAGAGAATGGTATGTATTTCAATTTCTTCATTCAGCCCATTGGGTGTTAGAGTATTAAGTTTATAAATCCAGAACGTTTCTCTTCTGCATAGTAAATGAAAACGTTCTGATGGAGATAGGTGTGTGGGGATGTGCTCGATTGCAAACACCCTCAGGTCCTGGATGCTTTTTTGATGTTTGATGGTAAAGTGTTTTGGGACACTGTGTTCCAGTTCGCCCTTGGCAATAAGACGCCTGTGGTCCCCAATCCCGGCCCGTACTGGGCGTATAGTGCGACCAATGTACATCAACCCACAGGGACAAGTGAGCCCATAGATCACATGGTCATGCGAGCATGTGATAAATTGCTTCATATGATGTACCTTGTTGAGATGGTCAATAAACTGAGACTGTCCGTGCTGAATAAACTGGCAAGTAAGGCATCTAGGCTTTTTACATTGGAAGATGCCGACCCTATTGTCAAAGATTGGGTAGTTGCGCTCTTCAGCTTACTATATTTGTTGATTATTATGTTTCACAGGGCTCCTCTCCCGGTTTTTGAAGAGCTTATGCACACCATTTCCCAGAAACTCAGTAAGTGAGAGACTTGGCCACATTACAGTAGTGCGCTTTCATATATATTTGTTTCATATTGACTTATCCCACTGCATAAGCACTCACACAACCTCTTCTTCAGCATATCAAAATGGGAGTTGATTTACTAAAGGCAAATAGGCTGCTCACTTTGCAAGGGCATTTTCTCTTAGCTTAGTGAATGAGGTGAAGCTCTTCTGACTTCCATCATTTAATATTGCAAGCAAAAATACTGCTTTTTGTATCTTGTACATGATCGTGTTTTCTTTGCAAAGTGTATTTTCACCACATTTACTAAGCTGAGGGAAAATTCCCCTGCAAAGTGAACGGCCTATTAGTTTGTAGTAAATACTGCCAGCAATTATTTGAAAGCTATAGTTCCAGTGTGTATAATGTATATATGAATACTCAAATGAACTTTTATAGGTCTACCTAACTCAAAAAATAAAAGCATTTTTTAATTTGATTTGTTTTAGTCCTGAATATAAAAAAACAACAGTATGAAAACAGAACACGTCTCCTTTAAATCTCCAAAGTATGTTTTGTGTCTTACCTCACATTGATCACATTTTTTTCCGATGACGTGTGGTTTACAGTCACACAATCCAGTGTCATGGTGGCACATTGAGGAGATTGAGCTGTCTGGGTGACACTCGCATGCTTAGAAAAGATAAAAAAATTAAATGTTAAAAACTCCATTAAATGAATACTACCTGAATGTTCCAGTTTAGTAATAACCCTCCTTTTCCCTACACCAGGACATTAATACCGGCCATGTTGGGGCTACTCACTGCCAGTACCAAAATTAGCAGTGATCTGGCAAAGCATTGCAGCAGTAAGGCACACTTTCATGGCCTGCCATGCATGGATCCCCTGCTGAAACATATATCACCGCTGTTGTTTTGTTGTTACCATCCAGTTTTTTCCTCCATTGCAAGAACTGAGATTACTGGACCCATGTTGGTCTATTGGGAATCGGATGTAAACAGACATGTGTCCATTTACATCAGATCTGGCATGGTGAGGTCTGTGGAAACAGAACTCTGATCTGTTTGTTTTTCTGGACCTGGCTGGAGACGAGCGTAACCGGATGTATACAGGCGCAGGTATGTCCACAGACTAACATCAATCTTCTGATCAGGTCCACCTGTCAGTTTTAAAGGCCCCTGTGACTGGTCAGTACTATTGTTGCCACTGTATGTAGTCATTTATATCTAACCCTTTTTCTGACAAAGCATTTTTTGCACACATTTTATAATCCACATTTTAGGCCTGAAAATTACTTAAAACCCCCAAACATTTTATTTTTTCTGAAATCAAAGACCCTATAGAATAAAAAAAACAATATTAGCGCAACTCTTTATCAACGCAAAAATGTTGTAAAAAATGCTCTTAAGTTAATTTTAGTGCCCAGAAACACAATATAATACCCATTTTGTAAAATATAAAAGATGAAGTTACAACAAGTAAATAGGTACCCAACATGCCCAAGTTACAAATTGCGTGAAACAAAATACTGTACCCCAAATTGTCCACAGGCTAAATTTTAAAAACTTGTACAGGTCATCAGTTTAGGCATATGCATGAATATTGGCCCTAGAATTATTGCTCTCAGTCTGGCACAAGGGGCGATACCTAACATGTGTAGCGTGATTGTCTTTTTTGTAAGTAGGCACACAAGACCCCTGTTTACGTTGATACACGCACACTTGCGGTGGCAGGGAACTTTAAAAAACATTTTTATTTTTTACGTTTATTTTATTTAATCTTAATTTTTTTGTTACTTTTTAAAAATGTTTTTACTCAATTGCTATCACATAAGGGGGCTTACAAAGACCCCTATGTGATAGTATACTAGTGGTGACATGTACTCTTTAAAGTGACAGTAGGCACACAGCAATGGCCCCTGGAAGCGATCTGGCGGCAGCTGAGCTGCCAAAAACACTTTGAGTGTAAAGCTGACCTTACACACATGTAAACAGTGCCGCCAGTCTGTTTAAAGGGGCCCACTGCCAGCGACGTATGAGATACGTCAGTGGCAGCGAAAGGGTTAATCATGGTCCCAATTATTGTTGTTTTACAGCTAATCAGGGCTGGATTTACCATTAGGCACATTAGATTTTTGCCTATAGGTGGCAGAGGCTCAGAGACAACTTTTCCATGTTTAGTCATTGTGACATTATTTTTTCCATTAGTAGAAATAGAGTCACCTTATATATGCTTATATACACAAAATGTGTAAACCAGGGGAATGTTATGGGTACCTACAGGTTGTAGTGTCCCTCTGTCCCTCTTTCCTCCTTAGTTGTCACTATTTTTGGTATGTACAGATATCTATGAAAAATCACTGTTTGACAACTATAAGTGTTATTCTGTACTAAAACCTTTATCTATCTCTAAATATGTTCTGATGGCAGGTGACCCTCATCTTCCATCTATTATACAAGCTGAGCTATGTGCAGCAATGAGCTACCCTAAAACATTCTATTGTAGCATATGTAGACAAATTCTCTGTAGTATCTTTCACTGTCTCTTTTTGCCAGGTCCAACAAACCAGAAGATTATTATTGTACTAGAATTGTATTAGTCTTAATGTTTTACAATGACTGCAGCCTTATTTATGCTTAAGAACCTGAGAGGGAATAATGTTTACTAACCCAAAATTAATTTTTTGGACAACAACCCGAGCAATCAGAGAGCGTCTTAACACATTTTTAGTGATATTTTCTATAATTAAACTATTGTAAGTGATTAAAGTAATTATTTGGCAGCTTGGCATCCCACTGTATAGTGCTGTTTGACATACAAACAATGTCCCTCTGTTTGGGGAGCTACATCTCTAACTTCTGATTGCTTCAAAATCAGATAAAAGCAGTACAGAATGTTATACAATTAACTCAAAGTAGTATTAACCTCCCTGGAGGTATGATTATGCAGGATTTTAGCATGCCAAAGCGGTACGTTTTTCATGGCAATTTGTTGTTTTATATTGTAGGCCTGTAATTCTTAGTAAATCTTAGGAATAACTCACTAAATCTGTCCAAACAAAAGTCCAGTAGACATTGCGGGTATGATAAAGTTTGAAACACAAAATCATAAATTATAATATAATAAATAATTATAAGAAATTATAATATAATAAATAATTATACATTGCCCAGAAAATTATTCATTTACGTTTTTGCCCAATCACTTGCAATCATCATGTTTTGTTTTTTTTTACTTTTCAAAGTATTTTATTGGTTTTTAACAATTTTCCAAAAGGAACGTAACATCAAACATAAATGTTGATACATACATACATTAATAACTTATGCGCAAACAGTGAAGTTGTTGCATAAAACGGAGCTAACAGTCTTGAGACGGCCACCGAAGGAACTAGTGGGTAGGTGTGTAAAGATTCACATATGGCACATAAAGAGTTTGACAGCCAAGCCCTGGCTATGGTACGTTTGGCCGCGGACAGTACCTGTAGCATTAGTTTGAATTGTTGGTTAGTGATAACTGACGGTTTAACATTTAGGAGAGCTGCCTGTGGGGTTGGTGGAATATGTGTGTTCATTAGGACAGAAATAATTTGAAAGACCTTACGCCACAACAGGACCACCACCGGGCACAACCACCACATGTGGGAATATGTACCTCTTTCTCCACATTCCCTAGTGCATAGACCATCACAGGAAGGCACAAAGTGCATCGCCTGCGTGGGTATTATATACCAACGAAGGAGCACCTTGTAATTGGCCTCAAGGGTCAACGCATGTGTTGAGCATGATATGGTGTTTTCCCAGATTTGGGACCAGGTGTCTTCATCAATTGTGGCCTTAAGGTCTGCTTGCCTTATATTTAGATTGTAGATCCGAATACGGAATTATCTGATTTACACCTATAATGTCATGTAGGGTCGTTACTTTGTTATTGGTCCAGTTTCTAAAGGATGAGGGAGATTCGAGGCTTGGAGGGAACATGGGATTCCGAAGTATAGACAACAGTGGGAGATGTGGGGAGATGAGTCTGCTGGAATATTTGACTGAGTCCCATATCTTGAGGGAGCGCCGGGTGATAGGATTAGTGAGGGAGGCTCTGGCACTTGGTCTTAGCCATAGGAGATTGTCTATGGCTATGGGGTCACAATCTATCGCTTCCAGAGAGACCCATAACGGCGGTTCACTCTTGTCATGATATTTGGCTATAGTGGTTATTTGTGGAGCTTGGAAATATTTTTGAAGATTTGGGACCCCCAGACCTCCATCTCATCTGGTGTGGTACATCACTCATTTGGGGAGGCGAGGTTTCTTATTGGCCCATATGAATTTGAAGATCTTGTGTTGGAGCACCCTCAAGACATGGGACTGAACAAAAACTGGCAAGACTCATGACGACTTTTTCATCTGTGCGATCTGATCCAAAGTGGTGGCTGCAGAACAAGGACCTGGTGATTCAGGGTTAAGGTGCAGTTCCTCAAGTATGGCCTCGAGCTCCGACAGTGAAGAAGCTTGATGTTGTCTGCCTTGGTAGGAGAACGACAGCTTAAATGTGAATCCCCATCTGTACAGGATCTTGTGTTGTTGAAGGGTGCGTAGCGCCGGTTTCATTTCCCTCCGTTTCGCTATGGTGGATGGGGCAAGATCCGCAAAGATTTGATATTCATGCCCTTGGAACACGAGGGGTTGTTTGGCGCGGGCTTCCTGGAGTATGGTTTCCTTGGAGCGAAAATATAGGAATTTTGCGATGATGTCACGTGGCGGCCCCTCTGGTTTGCGGCGTGTGAGGGCTCTATGGATCCTTTGAAACTCTAATCTTTCGTGTGGTATGGACGGAGCCAATTCTTGGAGCAGTGCCGTGGTGAATGCAGGGAGATCTAGTATGGATTCTGGTATCCCCCTTATCCTGATGTTGGAGCGGCGTGACCTGTTCTCTAGATCCTCCATCTTGGATAGGAGAATGGCATTGTCTTCCCTCATAGCATCCAGCTCCCTGTCATGAGTCTCAAGAGTTACCACTGTGACGTCCATTCTGGATTCCAGGTCTGCGGTTCTGTGGCCCAGATCACGGATTTCTTTAGTTAGCTTGTCTGTGATCTGCTTGGACGTTTGCTGCAGAGCTTTTTGTAGCATTCTATCGATCTTTTTCAGCAGATCTTTCTGTAGTGTGTCAGCCCTGGTGGGGGAGGGAGAGCTGGCCCTGCTGTCTGTATCCTCTCTGTTAGAGTGAGAGGGGGAGGCTTGCTGTGACTGTCTGGCTTGTGAAGGCTGCGGCGCCATCTTGGCAGGGGTGCGGGTCTGCCTCTCACCTGCTAATCTCCCTCTTGGCTGGGATCTCTGGCCGGCGGAGGACATGGCCGCGTCACCCGTTCCTTCCCTCGTCTGACACTGCAGTTATTGCCGCGATGTGGCCGGGGTGAGCGGCGCGGGTTCCCCTGCTATGCCGGAGGGACACGGAGCTGCTCTAAAACATGTCCGCTCCGGATCACCGCGCGCATGCGCCCCCCAATCATCATGTTTTTGAACAGCTGTTTCAGCTCAGCTTCCCTGAACTTCCTGTCCAGTACAAGATCACAAAGGACAGTGCAGACTCCAGCAACTGTTTATCTACTAGATTAGAGAAGAGAGGGGGCCACGGGGAGGGGAGTAGCTTGATTTGCTGTGCCTGTGTGTTTGTGGAGACAGCCACAGCTTACTAGTACACCCAAGTGTGACTGCATTTCTGCTTGAGAAAGGATTCACTCTAAAACAAATATTAGGGCCAGTGCTCAGGGGACCAGCTGATTCTGCAGGAAACTAAAACTTTGAAACATCGAGGAGCAGCAATCCTTGTAAGTGATTTAATCAGAATTTGAAATAGATTAAAATCCTTTTGACTTTAATATCACTTTAATTGAAACACCACCGCATTCGTTTAGTAAGCCATCCAGAAAATGAGCAACCACATCATATCTTACCAGTACAGTTCTTCACAAAAATGGCATCCCCATGGAAGCCATCAGCGCATCTTTCACAGTAGCGCCCAGCTGTGTTACCAATACATTTCAGACACTCTCCTGTCACTGAATCACAATGGCCATCTTCAAAGGGGTCTATATTGCCATTACAATCACAAGGGACACAGGACCCTCCCAGCACTGATGGATTTCCATAGTATCCATTGGCACACCTGGAACACAGGATTAATTCTTTAAAGGCACTATAAGATCTGACCCTTCAAATAATGTCATTGAAACAAGGTGGGTGTTGTTAGATCATTATTGAAACCATGTATTCAACAAGCACTTGAAATGATAATTAAACTAATTAATACAAATTGCTATGCTGACACTAAATAAAGATTATTTTATCAGTAAAACTTCTGCCATTGCACCCTAATTAAAATATATAGTAAATGCTATATTATGTAGGTCTTTTTATGCTTCTGTCTCCAATTAGGGGGTTTTTCGTCACTTTCTGTCCTTCTAACCCCTGTTACCAGGGTGGGATGTGAGGAACAAAAAGCAGTAAAAATCTAACAGAGATTACAACTTTTCCCCATACTATCCAAAATTGGAGTTGGGCTTTAGTCTATAATACACAGAACAAAAGTGCATGTGACATTATTGAATAAAACTGCTGTATAAATCTCACACCAAAGCCTCACACCATTTGTTACAGAATAATAAACCTCAGTGAACCTTACAGATGAAAAATTGCTAGAACTGACATTCTGTGAATACACCCAATGTCTTAAATAATGGAACAATAACACAGCAATAGATATTATTCTTCTCAGTACAGTTCAGTGTTAATAAACATGCTTTCCAATGCTTCCCTTTAATTACCAATCCCCTGGATATACTCTCTTTCATTGCCTGGTTTAAATTAGTCATCAAACCTGTATAATTTGCATGTGTCAGCAATTAAGTGGCTAAGTTGGCGACATCAGTACTAATAGGTTCTTGGTGTCCCCAATAAAGAAAACTGCCAAAGGACGTTACTGTGCTGACTACACAGCACCAATGTGTAACAAATTACCAGGGCTTTTCAGAACAAATCAAAAGCAGTAAGCTGATTTTGACCCATTCAGTACTTCTCTATTTTATAGCATCAGGAATTGTAATTTAAGATTTCATCTCTATCTTCACCTGCAAATGAAACCTGGAATGCTTTCCACCCTGATGGCCTTCTGTATGCTTCATTCCACTTCTGCTGAACCAATATAAATAGCAGCAGAGAGAGCTCTTTTCATATAACAATCTATGGGGTGAAAGGAACCTTTCTGTGTGAAGACACACAAAAGGCAAGAGAGCAAGAATTTAAAGTGACATTAAACTCAGGAGTTAAATCTTAAAAATGCATTCAAGTACCTTAACAAATAACAAAAATGTAACTTATTTGTGTATCACTCGGCTGTAGATCCTCAAATCATCTCTGAATTTATGCTGACACTGTCCTTCCTTCTGGAAGGTGGCTACTTTTGTTTCTCATGGTCCCTGTGTGTGTTGTAAAGTAGCCACCTCTCCAAGCTTGTTCCTGGGATGGACTACAATCTCATGTTCAGTTTGCTTATTTGTATTGAGATTGTAGTCCATCACGGGAGTGAGCTTGGAGTGGTGGCTACTTTACAACACCCACAGAGACCATGGAGAACAAAAGAAGACAACCTCCAGAAGGAAGGACAGTGTCAACACCAATTCAGAGATGATTGGAGGGTCTGCAGCCGAGTGCTACACAAATAAGCTACATTTTTGTTAATAGTTAATCTACTTGAATGCATTTTCAAGATTTAACTTCTGAGTTAATTAGGGGAATGGAGGACCAGAGCTATGAGACAGGGCTACTGAACTTAAACATGTTCACGTTGGAAGTAAGGAGATTAAGTGGGCATATGATTTTAATGTCCAAGATGTTCAATAGTGACAGCAACATTGGCAACAAACTCCTTAAGATTAACTACATTACAAAGACTAGAGGCCACCACCTAAAATTGGTGGAGAAAAAATTCCAGCACAAGGGGGGAAGGGGGTTCTTCACAGTAAGAGCGGTTAGGGTCTGGAACTCACTGCCACCGGCAGTGATTTCAGCTAGGAGTGTAGAATTGTTCAAGAAACTTTTGGACGATTTCCTGAGGGGCCGTAATATTCAGGGATACAAGTATTCCTAAGAATGAGTGGACCTATATGGGTTGGACCTGATGGACGTATGTCTTTATTCAACCCCAGACACTATGTAACTATATAACTATGTAACTATGGGTCACTTTAACTGTGTTCCAGAAAATTCTACAGGTTTACCTTCATAAAAGCTTCGATTGAGGCAAGAACAACCTCTACTTTATATGATATCATTATTGATATTATTTCAATAGTTGAACATGTCTAATTTAAGGATAATTTTGTTTTTGTATAAATGAGACAATGTAATTTCATATTTTTAGAACCTGCATTGCAACAATATATATCCAGTAATAAGAAGCCTTCATGGGAATTTACATACTTTTCACACCGTGGTCCAGTATAACCAGGTGCACATTGGTCACATATCACGTCTTCTTCTCCAGACAGATAACAAGTTGGACTAAAACTGAAACAGGAAAAAATATGTTGATTTATTGACAAGCAAAGTGTGGATAATATTAGTTTTAGTACTAAGGACAAAATTACATCCATAAATATTAGCAATCAGTGGCATGCTGATTATAACTTATTGCTGATTATGACAAGAGGAAAAGGCTCTCACTTGTTGGAAGGTGCATTTAGAGGACAAGCACACAGCTGGCAGTCCTGAGGTGTTCCTGCTGTTGGATATCCATAGAATCCTGGAATGCACTGGTCACAATGGGGACCTGTAGTATTGTGCTGGCAGCCCTAAAGAATTGCACAAAATACCCCATATAACAATAAGGCACACGCACATTTTGTTACGAAAACAACAAATCCTATAAAATTGTGAGAACTATAAGTAACATTTTACTATTGTCAAAGTGTTTGGGCAAAAAAAACAAAATAACATATTCAGTATCTAGCTACGATACGTGCGCATTTCTTGTTTAACCCTTTAAAAGTGCTGCAAGTACAGAAAAATACCTGTAGATCCGCCGGATATCTGGTGAGCTCCTAACTTACTATTTAAGCTGACAACTCACTGCTTCTACTGCACTGGAATCATGAGCAATGTTAATGTCAGTCCTGCACAGTTCAACTCTGCCAGACTATAGGACTAAACCCTTTTTCCTCATTTCTATAACATAAGTGGGAGATATTCTGTAGTCCAGGAGAGGAGAGCTCAGTCAGGACTGATAACACTGTTTTGAATTTGAATGCATGCAAAGGAAGCATTGGCAACTCAAAAAGGAAGTTAGGAGCCAACAGGATCACAGCATTTTAATAATGTACCTCAGAGATGTACTGATATCATAGATAAGAGACATTCCACCCACATTATGCAAAATTATAGAACATTTAAAGGAGTAGTCTGAAAGTATTTCCCTTCAGAATAGTGTAAGAAGGTGTATGCTTGATCCAAAAAAAGCATATATTGTATTTCCAATGTGACTTTCCGAGATTATCAGGAGACAATATATGCGAGACTGAACTAAGCAGTCATCACTTTTTGCTGATATAAACATTAACAAGTACAAGCTAGTTATTGCTGATCTAAATGCACTTTGGAATTAAAGATTTTAGTGGAAGAACACAGAACCATTAAAACAACTAACTTACATAACAAGCACCATGGATATCACAGTCTGTTGCATGGCCGTTGCAATCACAAGGCTGACAAATTCCACCGAAGAGGGTTCCACCAACTCTATAGTATCCAGGTATGCAAGACTGCAAAAAACAAATGTTGTAGCCTGAGACCCACTTGGCAATACTACAATATTCAAGTCAACATTATTAGAAGCAGGTTTTCCTAGGATCTGTGCAGGAAAACTATTCTGGCTGCCTGAATGACCCATCTTCCTATTGGCTGAAGAGTTTGACAAAGGTTTCGCCAATCAACACTCTACTTTATATATGTTCACTAGACACAAGGGATATAAGTAGGATCAACACCTCCTTAGAACACTAATACCTCCTCAAATCGCTTGGCCTCCTCTACTGCTGGCAAAGGGGTAGCTTCTTTAAATGACCTGCCTAGCACTAGAAGGAGAGCTCCCTTAAAATGTGAGATATGGCTTTAGGTGCAATACAGTAGTATAGGTACAAATGCCCCAGGACATAGTTAAGGACATAGTTAACCTCTTCCTTTTTGGTTGGGAGGAACATTAAAAGTACCAACCCCTCTGATTAAAACCCAATAAACCCTTTCCAGCTAGTTGGGAGTTAATTAGGTACAATGGACAACCTATTCATGCTGGCAGATGGAGTCACAATGCCTCTCTAGCCCTTAAACAAAGGCCAAGGGGATATTTTTATTTGACATACGGTATATATTTTTTAATGAACAACCCAACACACAAGTCCAAACAGATGCTCTAAGCTTCAACCTGCTCACCCCAAATACTGCCAGTGTTTAGTTAAAAGGAAATATTAGCTCTAAATAGACCAATGGAATAAAGTATGTCTAAGGTTGCAGGCAGATCCACATAATAATTACATTAACCACAAGCACCAATCAAGGGGCATTTCTAAAAACCTGACAAAGTGAGCAATAAAGGCTGAAGCCAATCAGATTCCAGCTCTCTTTTTTTTACAGTAAAGGCTTAATAATAAAAGCTAGTAACTGACTACTTTTTATAAGCAACACATCCTGCATTTAGATGCTCTGTTTTTCATAAATCAGACATTTGTAATTGAGAAAAATAAAAGTAAAGCCTACAGCAAACTTAAATAATCAGTCAAAGTAAGCCCAATACCTCACACGATGTGCCAGCATAGCCAGGTGGACATTCACAGTTTTCCACTTGTACAGCTGGCAGGAGGTCAATCACATTAGGTGTAGCTGTATCAAGTGTTACTGAGCTTAGCCTAAGAAACAGAAAAAACATTCAAAATGCTGAATTTATGTATAAATGAATATGACTTTAGCTATGTAATACAAAAAACTGTGGGCACATGCCATATAAACTATTGTATTGCCACAGGTTTATAGTAAAATCACTTCCAGGAGAAAGCATTTCCTCAGTTGCCTCTTTCCCAGTGATCAGGCTGCACCACTACAATGTTGCAGCAAGTCACAAGGTGAGAGACTACAGTAGGGGATTATCTGTATCAGACATTTGTGACCACAACCAAGTACTGCCCTGGCACCAGGATTTACAAAACTGTGCCATCTGTGAGCCAGTCCTATAAGTAGATGTTGACTCTGGATAATGCCTTATGTTCTAATGGAACTGTACACTTATGCATTAAATAGCATGCATACATGTATGAAGAAAAATATATCTGATGCTAGGTCAACTTTACACAGAATATACAGTATAGTGGTTTTGTATATATTTTTCTTCTTCATTCTTTGAGGTATGAACTAAAAGTATTTCTAATCTTTGTATCCAACCAGCAGGGGCTCTAGGCATCATGTCACATGGTTACCTATAAATAACTGCTATGTTAAAAAAAAAAGGTTGTTGCTCACGGTTGCCAATAGCTCAAGCTGACATATATACACACAGAATTTAATAAATAAGAATAACAACTCTTCTACCCTCTCAGAGTCTTAAACTACACAGCTTATGTTCGGTTCTTTCATTTGAAAACCCATAATGTGAAACCTGTGCCATGGGTGCACTCTGTGTTCAATGTGCATTTGTAAAACAAACATCTTCTATAAGGTGACAAACATCGGATATAAAACTGCATACCAAACCTCAGATAAAAATGTTTAGACTTATAAAATAAATATAAAATTGAGCCACAATCATGAAAGTTTATGTTTAATACATATATTCTAAAATACATTCTTAATATTTGAAATTCTTTGTGACTACCTGGTGACTGCATTCTTGTCATTGTTATAGGTAGCTCGTATCCACAGGCGATTAATATTAGCCAGAACAGTCATTAGCCTGTCGCGATCCAAGGGTCTGTTTGTATAGAAGTCCAGAAAGTTTTCCGGAAGCAGTTTTATTTCAGCTGTGTGTTCTTCATATGGCTGCAGGAGCAAACCTTCAGTCCTTGTGACTATGGTGATACCACTTCCCTGAAAAAGTAGTAGATACTCTTGTCAAATCTATCAGCTGCTGCAAGACATGCTGAATGTACAGTATGTATGTAAGAGGTTTGCTACTTATAAGAGAAGGCAATTAAATATGATACAGCGACACACAAGGGACAAAATCACTGTGTGTAGCATCCAGTTTTCTGTCCTTCATTTTATAATCTGTCCAAATAACAAGTAATTTGGACCTGTTTCACTGGTGTGGCCAACACAGTTTTGAAAAAATCCAATGCAATGAAGTCTACATTAAACTGTATGCCCCAACGTCAAACTGCCATAAAGAGTTTGTATGAATTTACAAACAGCCATCTACATACAAATATGGCTTATTTGTATAAGGTTTCATTGCCATTTGGTGAAATCATTAGTAGATCAGCAGGAAAGCTTGACCAACATCATGGGTTTGATTATATGATCAAAAAGTGGCCGCTGTCTGACATCAATCTTTTAAGGAGGGCCAGCCCTTGAAGATATTTGAAATAAAAGAGAAAGTAACAACTGAATAAAAATGTTAGAGGACTGAAAACAGTGGAAGAAAAGGCTAACAAATCAGAGAAAGCAAAAATGAGAACATGGGATAGCCAGAGAAGGATGAGAATGATGGCTGCAAATGGCAAGGATCTGAGAGACTCACACACAGGACTGGGAAAAGAATGGGTCATAAAGAGAAATGCAAGATAAAAAGAACAAGAAAGAAAGAAGAAAAACAAGAATAAAAGATGACATAAGTGAAGAAACAGTGGACTCAAAGCTAAGAACTAAGAGAAGACTTGAGTGACGGCTACAGACAGAAATCTCTGGAAGAAAAGGACTAAAGATACAAAAATGCTGAATTATGAGTAACAATTTATATAAATGAATGGAGAGAAAAAATTTGCTTGATAGCTTTGTGTAGTGGAGAAGGTTCGACAAAATTAGTGGCTGAACATATTGAGGGTTAAGAGCTGTATTTCCATTAACATCCAGCAAAACAGAGTTTGAATTCTGTGAAGAAAGCTACTAAAAGGGTTTAAAATATTTTTCTGGTAGTTGCATTAGGGACCCATCAAGAGGATCAAGCGGAGGGCTACGGTAGTCCCAATAATCAAAAAGGGGGCTGGGTGCCAACCTGGGAACTATAGGCCGGTCAGTCTAACATCGGTAGTTTATGTAAAATGAAATACAGAGAACAGCATACCTATGCTCTGACTGTGAGAATTTCCGTAAAATATTCAGGGAGCCCTAGAGGCATAAGAGAGGGCTGGAATGGAACGGGACATGTATGTAACACAGACCACACACTATAATGTAGAAAAGTCTGCTCCTGTACATAAGTCTAGGATTAGACTTTTTTTATGGTCACCAAAGGGTCATTTTAAGGGTAAAACTATACTGACCCTTTTACAACCACATGATGCTTTAAATCTCCACTGTTTCACTTCGAGGAACACTGGCAAGTATATATGGTCCACTGACTGCAAAAACTCTGTGATTGAGCATGACAGGTTAGAGCAGGCATATCAAACTGGTGTTTTAGGAGTCGCAAGCAGCCTTCTCACTTCTTCTCTGTGACTCTCAGTGGTTTTAGGATAAAAAAAAGTGTTCTCAGCTATTCTCCACTTAATAAACTACACTTTCTTACAAAATTGTGCACCTAAATTCTTCATGAGATGCTTTATAGCTCCTTTCTATGGGATTACATATTCTGGAAAGGTCCAAGTTTACTATGTGTAAAAGTGTATAAAGTGCCATAATCTTTTCTGGAATTAAGTAGGTGCGGAACTCAGTAGACATAACTACATAGTCCTCTGAATTCTTTTTCTTTTTTAAAATAATAAATAAATGATTTGTGCAATGTATTAGTAAATCCATCATTTATTAAAACTGGACGTTTAAGGTACCCACTTATAAACAATATATAACAATTTCACCAGGTTTTATTTTATATACACGTCATCTTAAAAAGTATGAATGAGTGGAAATGGCTCATTTGGCATACAGTACATAGATACCCCTTTTCCTTTCCGCCAACGATAAGGTTAGTACATATAGACTGTTTATTTGGGTGGGGTGGGGGGGAAGAGCTATGTTACTATGTCACTAACGATAGGATCAGTATATATTATGCCACTATATCGCCAACACTAGGATCTGCATATATAGAATGAAGCTGGGGAGCTATATTCATTATAGCACTTCCATCACAGCCATGATATCTATATGGGTAACTAACTATTATGACAGCATTAGGGATTCATAATGGGTGGGGGTATTTTGCCATCCTCTGTTGGCTGAGTTAAATTGACATATCACCTTCTATGCAGATTATTATATCCCTTATTTACCATATGGAGGAGTATAATATATATTAGCAGTAGTGTCTGTTTGTGGCACGTAACAAATCCTTTTCATTATCATTCATACATTTTTTTATTTTAACTTAAATTTTGAAGTATGAAGTATTACATTTGGAAGTATTACATATAAATTATTGTAACGTCAGAGTTTTGCTGTTCTTTGACATTCGGTTGGAGGGGTCAACCTGTTATCCCCGCGATCGCCCACCAGACTTTTAGCAGAAGCTTCCATATACCTGGCTTCAAGTTGGTTCAATTATCATATTAAGTGAGATTATCAACTTGTTAAATGAAGGTTTTTGATTGATACATGGGACTTTTTAAAACATTTTTTCTATATACAGTATATTTAAATCGTGCCTCAGATACTCCTGATGAAGTAGAGCGTGAATTCATGAAACGTGTTAAGTGAAATGCATCCAATTGCCTTTATCTCAATGAAATGTGAAACATACTTTTAAGTGTTGTTAGCTATTTATGACCTAATGGATAATAAGATAATTGGATATGGATAGTTATAGGCATCTATGCATGTTAAATGAACCATTTTCACTATTTGATACGCTACATGTTTTTATTATTTTTAAGATATTGTGTATATAAAATAAAATCTGGAGAATTTGTTATATACCGTTTAAGAGTGGAAACCTTAAAAGTCTTGCTTGATTAAATGGAGGATTTACTGAATTACTGTGGGATGTGGCACACCCAATCATTAACAGTTTTGAGTCCATTGAGCATCATATCATTTAAACCTGGAAGCTTTAGTATCATTTAAATTAATGAAGCCATTTTAACATTATTTTTTATAGAATAGTTTTTGGACAAATGTTTGTAAGTATTCAGCATTGTGGATGAGATAATCTGCCTGGATATGGTTCATGAACAGGTTAACAAATCTTGCTCAAAGTTTGCAAACTTTGTGCTGAACGCAACTAAAGTCTATGGAAGGCAAATCTTGCTATTAAATTCTGGCTGTATCTTTAAGGTTAAACGGAAGCTTTTCTTATACAAAAGGCATGGGAAGCCAGGCGCTACCATGGAAGACATGAACTATTGCCAGAATAAAAAATAAAAAAAACAGTATTGCTGCCTACACAGAAGGCAAACCTATGAAGATTTGGCCAAAAGTTTGCGATTCATGAACTTCGCAAATCATGGTGATTAGCTGAAAAGCCGTGGTAGCGGTGAACTCGAACCACATCCCTATTTCATACAGGATTACTAGGATTATTGCACTGTATCTGGATAACATTAGTTATGAATATAGACAGCAGATACCTAATTACCTGCATAACGAGGTCCACATTAGAAACGGGTTCCCTATCTAAACTTTCCACAGGAATATCATAGGACACTGTATACCTCAAAACTCCCCCATAAGATGTTAGCTGTAGAAAGAAGAAAAAAAATAGATATTATTAAAGACATATTAAGAGAAAACATATCATGCATAGCAAACCTATTCAAAACATATCTATAGAAAAATATTGATATTTATATTAAAATAGCAAAACCATTAAGGGGCACCCCTGCCTCACCACACTTCTCTATAGACAATCTCTCCAAAGAATCCTATTTGCTTTCATGACAACTTTATAGAGGTTCCCAAACTAAATGGGGGTCATTTATCAAAACTGGACCAGACAAAATCTGGAGCAGTTGCCCATGGCAACCAATCAGCTTTTCCCTTCAGTCTGTTCATTAAAGATTTGAAAATGAAGAAGAGAAGCTGATTGGTTGCCATGCACCGCTGCTCCAGTTTTTGTCTGCTCCCGTTTTGATGAATTTCCTTTGATAAATGTACTTTCAGTTAATCTAAATGGATCTGTCAAATGCTACTGCTATCTATATAAAGTATAGGGTACCCTAAAAGAGTGCTCAGCCCCATGCTGTCTCATGGTTTGCTATGTCTATAGTTAAACACGTATCCTTATGTAAAGTGCTTGGTTGTCTTATCTGAATTTCCAATACAAAGGGCTGCTCCAGCCATAGTCACAAGAGTAAGCCACTAAAGACTGGGCAGCCTTTCAGGGGTATTATGGATATTCCAGTTCATTAGAGACTATAGAGTGTATTCTAATTTCAGTTTTGAGGAAGACACGCCCTGTCTGGTAGAATTAAAGTGACATAATTGGATAAACAAGGACTGACACTGGTAAGCATTTTTAAGCATAAGCTGCAAAACTGTGCTGAGCTCTTTAAAATTTAGTACCACAGAAGTCATACTTTATTTCCAAGGTAAGAAGATGGTGCCTCCCAGTAATAGACAGAGTGCAATGTCTTCCTGGCCTCAGAGTTATTGATGCTTATTTGATGAGGACCATCAAACAGGTCTTGGTGTGGGAAAATTCTCTCAGATCCATGCAAGTCACTAACACGCCAGCCATGGATATCAGACATCTGAATAAAAAAAAAAAAATTAATAGATATTAAAATAAAATATTATCAGATTGTCCAACATTTTTAAAGCCTAACTCCAGCCAAAGCCTTTTTAGTTTTGGATAGCTTGTAAAAGGGTTAGAACATCTGCCAAGCTTTTTTTTTTATTGCTGTCTGATCATTAGGAAGGTTTCTCTGCATTTCCTAACTTTTTGATCCATGTCAGAAAAAACAGGGGACCTCTCTCTAACAAGGACACAGAAAACAAGAGTTCTAATAGAGTAGGGTTTTTATTGCTGTCTGTGTCCCCACTGGGAAGATTGCCATTGCTTCCAGTCCAGGTGTCAGACAGCAAGTGGAAATTTCCCTAATTGGGACACATACAGTAATTAAAGCATGACAGTTGTCCCCTAGCCCTACCCCAAACTATCCAAACTAGAAAAGAAAGTTCCAGTTGGACTTTAAAAGTAAGCTTTACCATACGAAATGTGTTTCTGAAGCAGCTGATACATTATGTTAAATAATAGCAGAGCAGCTCCAATCTTCCTTCCAGCTCCATACTAACCATGCACTATACCAGCGGTCGCCAACCGCTGGTATAACCGCTGAAGCTAGGAGGGGCATCAGCACTGCCACTCCTGCAGGCACACCCGCACCTATGTATGTACAGTATGTGTATATATAATGTATGCTGGGCTCAAAATTTCAGGTCATGAGCTACTAGCCAGGCCTGAAAAGTTACTTGCCACTATTTGCCCTGCATAACACAAACAAACACACACAGGGCACAACGCACACCAGCACAATGCATGGGGCACAGTACATTACACATACAGCCACAATACAACGCACAGAGCATTACACATACATCCACAACGCACAGAGCATTACACATACAGCCACAATACAACGCACAGGATATTACACATACAGCCACAGCACAAGGCACAGAGCATTACACATACAGCCATAGCACAATGCACAGGACATTACACATACAGCCACAATACAACGCACAGAGCATTACACATACAGCCACAGCACAACGCACAGAACATTACACATACAGCCACAGAAAAACACACAGGACATTACACCTATAGCCACAGCATAACGCACAGAGCATTACACATATAGCCACAACACACACACGGCACCCCGACTCATCTCTATGTCCCCTCAATTACCTGCTGGCAGGGGCCTGACACTTGAGACTAACGCTGGTCCCATGCATAGTTATTGCAGCTCAGGCTGCATGAAGGGGACCTGCGGCACAGTAAGCTGCTTGGGCCCCCTCCCATGGTTAGCCGGTCCACCCCAGGGCTTCCCCTGTATTTTGACGTCAGTGAAGTTAGGGTGTTCTATCATTTCATTGGACCAGTGACTTTATCAGATCGGATTAAAGTTACGGGTCCAATGGGATGATAGAACACTGGGACAGACCACGGGACACACCTCAGCAATAAAACCTAATCCAATACCCCCTACGTGACACACTCACCCTCTGCTGTCACAGTGGCTATGTAAAAGTGAAACTACAGCTCCCATAACGCTCAGTGCGCAGGCAGGAAGTTATGCTGTCGCTAGGATACAAGAACGGATGCCGTCATGTGGCCATCTTTAATATGGGAAGATGCACGGCTGTAAGCAGCAGCATACGGGCAAGTCATCTAAGATCCCTCTGGGAGTTGGGCACTCGGTCCATGACTGAGTGTCTGACTCAATAGCTTCATTCCCACTCGCCCCCTCGCAGTTTTCACTTGCAAATTGCGAGGGGGCGAGTGGAAATTTTGAGCTCTGCTGTACAGGTTCTAGCATCTTCTAGGATTTTTTTTACTGCAATGACAAAAAAAAAGCATCCATTAAATGTGTCTTCTTAAGTAATTTTATCATAATAATTGGGAGTCGTATTTTTATACCTGAGTTGTATGCCAAAAGAGTTCATCGCAGACATCAGAAACACCAAAACAGAAACATTCTGTGCAGCCCTCTGGATTCTTTTCTTGTAGGTTATAGAATCCAGACTTACACCTGTCACAGTTCTCCCCTTCCACATGTTCCTGAGAAATGGAAGAGACAAGCAGCATGCATGTTATCATAAACCATTCCTGTCCACATATGTAATTGATTCATTGGTTGATTAGATCCTTTCTGGCCAAAAATGCACAACCATATTAAATTAACAAAAAAATATTTTGTGGTGGATTATCTGGACTTGGCTTGTTCATGTGCTGAGTGTAGAGATTTGACCTCTGATTACATTTGTGTATCTGCATTTGAGCTTTGCCCTTTGACATTATATAAACTGTCCTGTGTTGGACTTTGGAATCTCATCTTGTCTTTGCTTCTATGACCATGATTGTATAACCATGATTTTGCTTAAAGATTTGTATGCTGCACTGTTAATAAGACATTCCCAAGGACCACATCCTGGAAATTGTTCAGTAGCCAAACCCATCTTTATCATTAGGGTATATGATGAAGATCCGGCACTTCCTGACCCTGTGTCTTAGTTAGAGCCTTCTGCTACTTGCTGCCAAACAAGTGTAAGCCCCACTTGCCTGCTTAGATCCTAAAACAGTATTCCAGTCTCTGCTTGTCTACAGATTCTGAACCTGTATTCTAGTGCAGTCTCTCTAAATCCTTGTGTCCAGTGCTCTAGATTTAGATTTTAGAGTACTCGTTTCAAGAGTCACTAAGCTCTTCCACTCCAGGAGCCTCAGAAACCCCCAAAATGCCCAAGACAAATAGTGAGCATGTGTGTACTTCAATCACCTAATTATGTGAGGGGAAATTTGAATGTTTGAAGTGAACCCATGTGCACTTTCATTACCCCCTATGCTGTAGAAAATCCTGCATGTTTCCTTTACTTTGCCAGAATTCATATTTTAGCAAATCAAGACCAAATGATAAGAAACCTAATGATATAATGAATGAAAATCTTTCCATAATGCAGATAGAACAGCACACAGAGAAACAATACACATATAACTCTCAGTATCTGGAAAATCATTATTTCACTCAAACACCTGTCCCTTTATCTGTCCTTATTTGGATGTGTTTCTGATGGTGATTATTCCAGCAAACCTAAATCCCCCAAACTCTTGGCATATCATGCATTAGGACATTTATATAGTGTAAACTATACTGCATACACTCACCTTACATATACATTGATCTGCACAAGGGTCATCATTCAGGCTCCCTATAAGGCTGCAGTTACAGCGCACACAGTGAGGGTATCCCTTGTATCCAAAAGCACACTGGTTACATTTTGTGCCGGTATAACCTTCCTTACATGGGCATTGACCCGGAAGGGCACCTTTAAAATACAACACATTATATGGAAAATACCGCACAAGGCACTCATGGCAAGTAAACATATCTTAAAATACCGATTCTAACAAGGTTTTGGAAAACACTTAGAAAATTATTCAATAAAGCCAAACATAATGTCTTCGGTTAAGGAATTACTTCTGTTACCTTGCTATGTTATACATGTCTACCGTTCTCACTAGCTTATTGAATAGCCACATTATTGCTTATGATTGTATTTTAATCGTTCTTTCACTTTTGCAGCCAATTTGGGATGACACATATTTGAAATTTGCTACATATTCTCATTTACATCGCATAACTAGCTGCTTACGATTTTACTTGCTCTTTCATGAAATAACTACAATAATTTTGTTCTTTAAACTGAACTTTCCACTGGAAAGCAAGGGGGTGGGAGATTAATGTTTGTCATAAGTAACCCTGTCTGCAAAGTGCTGGTAGATTTCATTATCAGAGTTGTAACCTAGATTTGGACACTGTCTAAGGTTACAAATCCTGAAATATAGTAAGTTAATAAAGCTCAGATTCTCCCTAGTCTTTCTAGGGGGACAGCCAGAGTTTCCTGTCACACTAAAATTGTACAGAGTAGCTCCAAAGGCCTACCACATAGACATACCTTGAGTAGAATGGTTGTCATCAACAACACAGACAGGACTAACAGAACCAAATGGATCACATTCACATGGATGACATGGAGCTTCATCATAAGGGGAGACCTGAACAGGAAGAAAAATGTTTAGGTACCATTTATTACCTAACCACCACTGGTCTTTACTGGCTGTGTCCACTGTGCATACCTTGTGTGGCCTGTAATAACCTTCTATACATGATTCACAGTTAATTCCAGCTGTAAATTGTGTGCAGTTGATACAAACTCCCCCTCCAATATACTGATCATTAATATTCAAGCTCATGTTCCGATCTGCCACGGTTTGGTCATAATAACAATCTTCTGCTTTATTATGGCAATTACATTCTGAAGAAAAAAATAAATAGTGAATCAATAACCACATAAAATGTCTTAAAGTAAACTGAGATCTTAATAAATCCATGGAGCTGTTTAAAGGAAAACTATAGTGACATTTAATTGTTTTGGCTTTTTAACTGAATTGTAAAAAAAAAGGCTTTAAATTAAACTATTTACCTAGCAGATGACTGGGTATGAAAATGGAACACCGCCAAATCACACTCACAAAATGTCTTTGCTAAAGAAACAAACTACAAAATGAAACTCATACGGTATATGATGCCCAGTAGCATAGCTCACATTGTCCCCAATTATTCCCATTACGTTTGTTCATTTTTGGTGAACCTTCCCCCTGATTCAAAGACTCTGGATAACAATATGCCAAATATTATATACACTGCTACACCATTCAATAATGAAAAATTCCTTTGAAAAACTACTAAATAAAGACCAGAAGGTTTCGTTGAACATCAATACCACTTATAGTAACATGTCTGCCATGAAAGAGATCATTACAAAATTCTGGAAATTTAGAAACATACATTTGACATTTGTCTTTACAAAAGTATGGATGTTCTGGCTCGTACACTTCTGCCAACAAACTTTGACAGCCACCTTCTTAATATATAAGTCATGAAAAAAAACAAGGCCTCTATGCACTGTAAGTATTCCTGTCTCTCTCTTGGCCACCCCCTTTTCATATACAAAAAAATAGAAAAAGCCACTGGCACTCCAAATAATTAAGTCAATAAGGTTTTATTGACCCAAGTGATAACACCTCTGAGCTTAGACACCTCTGAGCTTAGACACCTCTGAGCTTAGAGGTGTTATCACTTGGGTCAATAAAACCTTATTTACTTAATCATTTGGAGTGCCAGTGACTTTTTCTATTTTTTTTACGTTTTTGCGGAGGCATCTGTTGTTGCTGCTGCACCCGCCCTGCTGGGTACTCTCCGGTCAGGAGTGCGATGGATACATGGCCCTTTTCACATACCCCTGCTTTTTTCCATCTTTTCCTTTCTTCACTTTTTTTCAACTATGTCACTAACTTTACACATTCAATATTTTATTGAAATTTACCAATGTACCTTCAAACCCACCTACTGCAGCTTTGCCAAAAAGCAAAAATATACATAGATTCTATGTAATAAAAAAACCTCCAATTCTACTTGTGCCTTTTATATAACCTAGGATTTAAAATGTACACCCACTATTGTTTCAACATATATGATCATGTATGCATACAATTTACATTTGTACTGTGGATACTTTGTCCGAGGCCGCATTCCCCAAAAAGCTAATAAAACTATTGAACAAAAAAAGAATTAGACCTTATCCCTTAGCCCTCGTTCACACCTGAACGTTTTGTAGCGCGTTCTGCGCTCGACGAACGCTCTACAAAACGCTCAAAAATATAAATCCCATTGTATTCAATGGTCACGTTTCCACCTTGGCGTATTTCCGCCCGTCCCTAACGCGCTACAAAACGGCCCACGCCTGAAAAGGTACAGGTACTACTTTGGGCCGTTTTGTTGCGCGTTTTCATTGGGATACAGCCAAGTAGCCTTCGGAAACGCGCGACGGTCGCGCAAGTTTTTTTACCGCGAATCGCGGTAAAAAAATGCGCGACAGACGCGCATAGGCAATACGCCTAGGTGTGAACGAGACCTTAATTCCTGTCTAAGTCAATTTTGGAACATAAGTACATAGAGGATACCTCTATGCTACTGTCCCTGCAAGGCTTGATGGGTGTTCAGAGTAGAATGCTCACTATAGCAACATTGCTAGGAGACACACAAGTCAGAAAAAATGGAAATACATAAAGTTTTGTGCTATACCCAGCTTTGCACACAGCAGAATATCTCATTGCTCCCGGCTATGCATATTGTTATAATATGATACTTGGCATAATTAACGTAGCCTGGCAGACAGCAGTGGAATATGTCATACAATATGTCATACAATAATATGACATATATTGCTACTGATGAGCCACTAATTAGTAGAGTGACACTAATTGGTACACTAATCCTGCACTGGCAAAAATGCCTTACCCCACTCTCCCCAGATATCCTGCCTGATAAAGACAATGGAACTTATAATCTTAGTATGCCAACATCTTTAAACAAAAGTCCTACTACTATCCTCACTCGGCTCTTTAGATTGGTCTCTGATGACCGCTGATATGGAAAAATAAGAAACAAGGCAAGATGGGCAGTCACAAGGTTTGCATTAACAAAAGCGGGTATTATTTCAAAAGTCCAGGCTGCTGTTCCTACCTTGCGCATGCCACCTGGTGGTCAAAAATGGTAAATATGCAATATTCATAAGTAATACTTTATATCTACCAGCTTCCAAAGACAATATGAAAATATTATTTTTAAAATAATAAAACGACTTATTCCCTGCAGCTATTCATTACTGCGGTGACATTTCTGAGCCTTTTTTTGGAACATACAGAGACTGACAAAGGGAAAAAGCGGATGCAAGAAGTACCTCCCCAAAAATGACAGGCATGGGAAGACAACAATCCCAAACTGGCACAGCAAACACCATAAAACAGTAGGATGAGCAGACTTGTCCACAAGGGCACCAGGCTGTGTCACTACAACCTGACAGGGTAATACCATACTGCAGGTTTGACTACCTAATTCAGGATATGGGACTAGAAGTCACCTGACTCGGCCTGACCCAGCAAAGGCCACAGCCATGGGGAGAGGGGAAGAACCCTATTTTGAGGAACCTCCCTTAAAGTTTGCAAATCAATCATATTTGGAGGTGTCTGACTCAAAAATATCAAAATCCATGAAGACCTGCATATGCATCTCCAATGGGGAATGTCGTGAGGAGGCTTTCAGCGTGAGCTATCTACTGACAATCCAAGGGAATGTCAAGCCCTCCAGCAATGGTTTCTTCCTGTCGTGCAGGAGATAGAGCACATCCAAGTGCACAAATCTCTGTTCCCAGAATGGAGACCACAGGATGGAGAGGCAGCATAAGGAAAATGATGCCTCTAAAGGGAACCACGCTGTTGAGGGTAACATCCTAAACATTATGTAGCCTAGTAACCAGGGCACTCACCTTGTCACAGCGAGATTTTCCAAACTTTCCCAGATGTGAAGGTCTTACAGTACCAAGTTGATGCTTCATGAAATCCTGGTCAAGGGACCTACACACAGCAGAACCCCTCAAAAAAGCAGACACTTTGGCACAGTCTCAGAACTGGCCTAGGACTCATCTGGGCCTTTTCAGTCTGCATGGAAGAAGCCCTCAAAAAGTGGGTGTAGTGGTAAGGTCATAGAAGCTGTAGGAGCCCTAAAAGACCCAAGACCTATAACAGAAGACTGATCCACCAAATGCAGGGTGGTATGCACTGCATCAATAAGGTTTGAAGCAACCCCTTATATATCCAAACCTACGGCAGGAGACTGAGATGACCAAAAGTACTATCGCTCCCAACTGTTGGGATTCTGAATCAGAAATTATAACAGGAGCTGCAGACCCCGTTAGACTCCAGGTCTCAGGAGGATCAGAGACAGACCCTCCTAGGGATGGTGCCAGAGTGTGCTTTTGTTCCCTATGGACAAAATAGTCCAGCAGCAGGGCACAAACAGCTAGGAAGTCCATCGTGGACATATAAATCCCTGTGTACATGCGGAAGACTATGGCCCTAAATGACAGAGCTGAAAGAGACTCTGCAGATGAAGAACCTATAATATAGGGGTCCCCAGTTACAGATTACAGGCATCAGTTGTATCTGGGGACACAGTCTAAACACCCCAAAAACTAGTATGAGATTATGGGCTGAGCTCACCTGTAGTAGTGGGACTGTCCTTCATGTGTCTTTGAGAAGACATGCTGTGCTAGGTAGCGGTAAACAACTAAACCCAATGTGCGTTCTCAAGTATTCACAAACCCAGGCAGCTAGTGCTGATGAGAGTTTTAGGCTGCCATAAATGACGGTCAATGTAGGGGGACCAGTGAAATAGAAACAGAGACAGGAGATTTACTTGCCTCAGGAGCAGGATGGTGCTCGCACTAGGCTGAATGGTGAGAAAAAAGTGTGCGCGCAGCAGCACTCCACCTAGCAGATGAAGTCAAGGCTCAGCCCCTCAACCTAAGTTTTTTTAATGCTGAAAATGATGAGAAATTTGAAAATGGCGCCCAACCATTCGAACTATGCTTTACTGGCCCTGCTCACTAAGTAAGCCTTTGGAGACAGGGTGACATCAGAGCCTATGCCACAGCTCTTGACACTGAAAGCGCTCTGTGGCTAACTACCAAAGTATATGAAGGTCTTGAAACTGCCACAATGCACAGCCCCATTCCCCAAGCTCACATTCCAAGCTAGCATCAAAATCTTTCAGTCCAGCAGGGTCTGAAACAACTTCCAAAGCTGTTGCTGAAGATACGCTGATCCAGATAGCTGCTGTGTAGAGAAAAGCTCAAAAAGCATTTTGAGGTCTTGGTTGAAGTCACCAAAAAAAGAAGAAATATCTATGATGCCCAGAAATATATATGATGCCCAGAGTTAAAAAACAAAATCTAGTAAAGAAATACAGGTGAAACTCGAATAATTAGAATATCCTGCAAAAGTTCATTTATTTCACTAATGCAACTTAAAAGGTGAAACTAATATATGAGATGGACTCATTACATGCAAAGCAAGATAGTTCAAGCCGTGATTTGTCATATCTGTGATGATTATGGCTTACAGCTCATGAAAACCCCAAATCCACAATCTCAGAAAATTAGAATATTGTGAAAAGGTGCAATATTCTAGGCTCAAAGTGTCCCACTCTAATCAGCTAATAAAGCCATAACACCTGCAAAGGGTTCCTGAGCCTTTAAATGATCTCTCTTCAGTAGGAATCACAATCATGGGAAAGACTGCTGAACTGACAGTTGTGCAGAAAACCATCATTGACACCCTCCATAAGGAGGGAAAGCCTCAAAAGGTAATTGCAAAAGAAGTTAGATGTTCCCAAAGTGCTGTATCAAAGCACATTAATAGAAAGTTATGTGGAAGGGAAAAGTGTGGAAGAAAAAGGTGCACAAGCAGCAGGGATGACCGCAGCCTGGAGAGGATTGTCAGGAAAAGGCCATTCAAAAGTGTTGGGGACTTTCACAAGGAGTGGACTGAGGCTGGAGTCAGTGCATCAAGAGCCACCACACACAGACGGATCCTGGACATGGGCTTCAAATGTCGTATTCCTCTTGTCAAGCCACTCCTGAACAACAAACAACGTCAGAAGCGTCTTACCTGGGCTAAAGAAAAACAGACCTGGTCTGTTGCTCAGTGGTCCAAAGTCCTCTTTTCTGATGAGAGCAAATTTTGCATCTCATTTGGAAACCAAGGACCCAGAGTATGGAGGAAGAATGGAGAGGCACACACTGCAAGATGCTTGAAGTCCAGTGTGAAGTTTCCACAGTCTGTGTTGATTTGGGGAGCCATGTCATCTGCTGGTGTTGGTCCACTGTGCTTCATTAAGTCCAGGGTCAACGCAGCCGTCTACCAGGAGATTTTGGAGCACTTCATGCTTCCTTCCGCAGACGAGCTCTATGGGGATGCTGACTTCATTTTCCAGCAGGACTTGGCACCTGCCCACACTGCCAAAAGCACCAAAACCTGGTTCAATGACCGTGGGATTACTGTGCTTGATTGGCCAGCAAACTCGCCTGACCTGAACCCCATAGAGAATCTATGGGGCATTGCCAAGAGAAAGATGAGAGACATGAGACCGAACAATGCAGAAGAGCTGAAGGCCGCTATTGAAGCAGGTCTTCCATAACACCTCAGTAGTGCCACAGGCTGATAGCTTCCATGCCATGCTGCATTGAGGCAGTAATTGCTGCAAAAGGGCCCAAACCAAGTACTGAGTACATATGCATGCTTATACTTTTCAGAGGTCCAATATTGTTCTATGTACAATCCTTGTTTTATTGATTGCATGTAATATTCTAATTTTCTGAGATTGTGGATTTGGGGTTTTCATGAGCTGTAAGTCATAATCATCACAATTATGACAAATCACAGCTTGAACTATCTTGCTTTGCATGTAATGAGTCTATCTCATATATTAATTTCACCTTTTAAGTTGCATTAGTGAAATAAATGAACTTTTGCACGATATTCTAATTATTCGAGTTTCACCTGTATATCAAAACAGTTATCAGCAGGGCTGAAGAAAAGGCAATCAGAACAAACAAAAACATGTAGCATGAAAGTTAGGGTCATATGGGGGCTCGCCTTCAACATTTTTTTCTGTTTCCCAGTGTCCAACATCTTAAGACAACTGCATATCAGTCAAATCTCTCAGATATTTCTACATTTCTGTGTCCCTTAATGAACAATAAAAATACATTTCTGTACACAACGTTGAACAAATAAAATGCCTTGGTAAAATGACACCATTCATTATCCTGTACATTTTCTACACTGTCCCACATCTCACAACAGGCCCAAAAAAGTTTATCTTTCACTGTGCATAAATACAGAACAAATACTATTCAATGATAGTAGTGCTATTTTAAGCTCCAGATGATTACTAAGCGGAAATAAAAAAATAACTGAACAAAGTAAAAAAATGCACTGATAGACGTTCACACATTCTCACTCCATACAATAGAACCGAGATCCAACTTACTCTCACATTTATTGCCAACAGAAATGGTGCCAGGTCGCCATGGATTCTGATGGTAACCAGGGCAACACTCATTACAGCTCTCTCCACAAGTGTTGCGTTCACACTGACACTGGAGTTTCTGTAAAAAGAAATAATACGAAGAAGCTTTTAAATATTAACCTATACTGACACAGAATGTTATTTTAATGAGTGAAATGAAATTATATTACTAAATTCAGCTGACCCAACTGTAACTGCAATAGCTTCCCTTTGTCCTAAAAGTAAGGATTTTCTCCGCTCTAACTTACCTGGGTTACTTCATCCCAAGGACAGCTACGAGCATGTCCATAACAAATGCACATCCCTCCAACAGATATGTCCTTGATAGAATAGTAATACTGCAAAAAGGCAATGATTGGGGTAAATACTTCATGAATCATGACTTATAGAAACATTAAAAACATACTTTGGACATTTTCTATTTTAGTCCACATAGTGAACCAAACTTAATAATATACACACTGTAATTAAACATCAATATATGACCTAACATAATAACAGCTCTTTGTGAATGAATACTAATTTGGCAATGTAGATATATTGCCAATATGACAAAATATCATTGCACAGCAGATTTTTACATACACAGTAACAGATGAAGGTGGCCAAGCATTATGCCATCCCTATTATGATACAAGGTTGCAATCTTATCTCATGATCATGAAATGCTGAGGATAACAACACTGGGTGAAGCTATGGGTTTGGAGTCATGGCGCAACATAAATGGGCTGAATTCTGCAGATAAACTGCAAAACTTCAGCTTCCTATTACTTACACTAAGCTGGCACCATGAGTTTCTGCGCGCGCGCGAGAGAGAGAGAGTGAAAGAGAGAGAGCGCGAGAAAGAGAGAGAAAGAAAGAAAGAAGGAAAAAAAGAAAGAAAGAAAGAGAAGGAAAGAGAGAGAGTTATAATTTTGGTTTTATCTAGTGATGTCCCGATACCGATGCTAGCATCGGAATCGGGCCCGATACAGGGCATTTTGACACGTACTTGTAAACGCCTCACGCTTGCCGCTTTTAGACCCACTTGCCTGCATCCACGCTCCACATGCTGCACCTACTCCCCGCCTCACGCTTGCCACTGCTAGACCCGCCCGCCAGCATCCACGTTCCACACGCAGCACCTCCTCCCCGCCTCACGCTTGCCGCTTTTAGACTCTCTCCGGCACACGGACACAGTGAGTGAGGGCAGATGGGGGGGGGGGGGGGTTTTTTAAGTAAATTATATATATAAGCCTTTGTTTGCATTTGAACAGTTTCACAAGTCAATGTGAAATAAATGTAACACAGAAACAGCTTAATGCAAATCAGAGCATCTCTGAAGCACCTAAAAGCGCACTGTTTGACTTGCTTCTGGGTCTAAGCCCATCTTCACAAGTTCTAAGGTGAAAGGACATTCAGCAGGTTCTTTTTCAGGTACCAGAACACATGACTGCCCACATAACATTTACAATGATAGGTACTTTGCAATAGTCTTCAATCCCGAAATCCAAAAGAAAAAACCTGAATTAAGGCATTTGTATGCTTGTGTTTGTAATTGTAAATACAATACAAATAGATTTCAGTCAAAAAAAATGGATAGTTTAATTCACAGCAATATTACTCTTGACAAATCTACAATGTAACAACTGTATTAGTAATAATAAAGTAATATAATATCAGACCTGGTTTAGAAGACTGTTGCATGATAAGTAGATGCTTTTCAATGCAGTATAAAAAGTGTTTGTTAAATGTAATTATTTACATCCCAATCCTCTCAAAATGGTTGTATCTCATGATTATTTCACTACTTTTTTTTATAAGAATCAGTAATATGGGTAATAAAGGCCTTGGGTTCAGCAGAAGGTACTGTACATATTTCCTACATTGATTTATGGTTTGAGCTGCAATAGCAGTCCATTATAGCAAATATTTTATGAAATGCATCATGTTTCAAATATTAACCAATAATTCTTGGTAGAAGTACCATTCTGAACACTTACTCTTCGAGTAACAATAGGATCCACATTTCTTAAATCATTATGGCTTAAAGTCATGAGGTCAGCATTAAGAGTTCTAATGCGCTGCAAGCGAAGACGGATGTAACGTGCGGAGGTAAAATCCAACAAAGTTGGGGAGGGATCATCAGCGCTTGGTCTTCCATTAATCAGTGAGGTGTGGATCTGTTTATTGAAAACAACAATACTGTAAAATGCTTAATATAATAAAAACTCTGGAATGGCTACATTTAAATTAGAAGAAATGTTTTACTATGTTATTATATCATTTTAAAAAAATCTCTTAATCTGTTAATAAGAATGCTTACAAGCCAAGTACCAATATTATGTATGCATATTCATATACTATAAAAAAGGACCCTATAGATATGCTTACCAAGTAGTTTAGTTCTCCTCTCAGTAGTAATATTTTATTAGTATGTGTACTCATTCATGAAGAGAGTAGTGGAAGTAAGTGGATAGTCCTCTATAACCCTATTATAATTTTTAAGGTCAGCTTCAGATTGTGTTCTTCCATTAACCAGCATGTACCTTGAATAGACTCTGTCATTGTTTCCATTCAGAGCAAAGTGACTAATTCTCTTAAGCTTGCAATACCTGCATCAATTCTGCTTTGTCTTTTTTATTTCTTCTACTATTTGTTTTTTGTCTTACTACACTTGCTGTTTATTCAAGTTTTGATCACAATTAAAAATATTTTCCACTCATTGTTTTTGCATGTGATAAAAGATGGAAAAGAGAAACTATTATTCTAACTATGAATCATGCTCATACTTTGGTATACAATAACGTCAGCCTCTCCAGGAGGGGAATGCAGTTTAGTGTACCCATTACCCAATGTAGTTGCAGGCCAAGATTCTGGATGCAGTATTCTCCATGCCAAAGAACAAGTGGCACCATTGCAACTCATGAGACCCTGGTGCCACTGTCTCCTTGTCAACTGTCTGTTACCATGTACCATACATATGGGTTATGCTTACTAAATGGCTGCCTATATGTGCAGATGACAGACACATGTCAATTGAAATTACTGTGCACAGTAACAACTAATAAAATAAAGCAATAATTGTGTGTCACATTTGTTCGTCTATTACGAAACAGCCCACAAATAAGAAATACAATAAGGTTTTTTTGTAAATTACCTCTACATCTAATATTTCTTCCCTAACTGGGGAGATACCACACGTTGCCTCTCTTTTTCCCCTCTTCCTCTTCTCTCTCCTATCTTTCTATCTTTGTTCTTCATATACCTTTCCACTCTCTCCTTTTCTTTATCCCTATCTTTTCTCTTTCCCCTTTTTCTTTGTTTCCTTCTGGCACTCCCTAGGCACTCTTGGCATCTATGTGGAGCTGTTTGCAGGGGTGCCCTGGGGGGGGTTCTGCAGTTCAGTCCATGGTTCTGGTTCCGCAGCTCCTGTGTTCTCCTTGGGTCCTCTTGTGTGACTCCCCAGTCCATGTGTCACCCAACTTATCAGGCCCATTACTGCTATGCTGGGGTGTGCATTGTCCCTGGTATTATGGTTCATCTCCTAATTATGTGGTGTTTTATTCCCTTTATTGTTCTGGTGCTGTTATTACTTCTCATTCATCGGGACATTGGAGAGTGTTCTTTATTTATTTATTTATTTTATTCATTGTTTGGTTCTTTACTATGTATTGTTTTTATGTATTTTTCTTCAATACAAACTTCTAATATAAAAAAAATTACCTCTCCATGCTCCAGAGGCACAAGCCTTGAATAATAAGATGTGCAGATGACTTCATCATCTCTCTTATATGTTGGCGGCCCAAGTCTTGGTGTGATGTTGTAACGAGTCAGGCATTCTGTGTCACTAATTGCATAATACTGCCATGGCATGAATTCAACTCCATCAAAAGAATGCTCTAAAATCCAGTTTCCAGGTCTTGGTGAATTTGCTGCTTTAATAATTACATAGGCAACTTGAAAGACCTAAATAAAGGATATATTCATTATACATGTTATGTCATGTTTATGTATAAAATTTAAAATGAAATATTATAGCATTTAGTGTATACAACATATTCAGTGCCATTAACACACCATTGGGTACAGATAGTAATCTCTGCGAACATATATGCATTCTGATGCTTGTATCCGAAGGTCCAGCACATATAAAGAATATGCAGGGGAAACATTAGCTTCAGTAGCTTTGTTCTTGATGAATCTTTATATATCATAAATGTATATAACAGCTTGTAAATACTTAGAATTAGATAACTGAGCAGAGAATCAACTCATGTGCATGGGTGTAGATTCCTATTTACCTTAATGTAGCAGTATAAATGAGAGTCCTGTGACTGCATTTGATCTGTTTTCTTTGAATGCAGCATGTCTTATAAAACCTTTTTTTGGCTTTACTTCTCCTTTGTCATGTCAGCACTTACTTTAAATGATGTTTCTTAATCCGATCTTCTTCTTTCTTGTCCTTTTCATCTGTCCCTCCAGCGCTGCGGCGGGTCTCCGATCCAGAGCTGACTCCTCTGAGCTTGCTGGCACTTCCTGTCCCACGGTGTCTGCATGTGGGTGCACGTGTCCATAGACTCACCTTGTGTCTCTCCTCGTGTCCCGGCTGAAAATGTGATCTGGGCATGCGCCCGCCCCAAGATGCTTTGCCGCTGCCTGAGAATTTTCACTTTTTTGGACGGGAGCGCGCGGGGAAGACACAAGTATTAACCCTTTTCAAAGCGTTTTTTTTAACACTTTTTGCATATATCTACTGCTTGTTATCAGTAGATTAAATATCCTTTAAGTCTGTAAGAGTAAAAAATTGTGCCTGCAGGAGGCAATGTAGCATGCAGCAGAACCACATTATCAGCTCTATGACCATTCCACTATATGTTTTACTAGAGTATAGCAGAGACTCTACAAGGATACAGGTTTTTTTTTTTTCAAAGTACTACTACGTCTTAGCATTATTAAAATACGTGCTGCGACACAATTATAAAGAATAAAAATGAGATTTTTTTTAAATTACTTTTTGTATGCTATGTGAATGGGAACACATAAACATATAGTGGGGTTTTCTCAAATCTGACTGCAAAGGTGGAAATACACTTTAAACTGAAAGTCATGTTGGGCTTTAAAGTGCAGGCAAGACATGCTCAAGTGGTCTCCCCACTTTACATTTTACAAGTAAAAACCATTGCAGGTTGAAAAGGATCTATATATGCTAATTCACTCTAGGTCATCTACTGTATGTGGAAAGGGTATTTGCAGGTAAGCATACATAAACTGCAGTATGCAGCAATTTTAAAAAATGCAGTGCAATAAAATACACTGGTATAAACTATCAACTAAACCAGTGATATAAATGTAACCTTGTGCATTGTATTCTGTTTTGAAATGCAGGTTAGCACATCTCAACACATTTGTTTAATTGGGATATTAAAGGAATACATTTTCAGTGATATGTTCGTAAAACTTATAATTCTAATTACAAATGGCCCAAATTTTCTGAAATCATATATGACGTTGCATGTCTTCCTTGGCAAGACAATACCTCCCAACTGTCCCTCTTTAGGAACCAAATCCCTCTGTCTCTCTTTCCACCTCAGTTGTCCCTCTTTTTGGTCGGATGTTGAGATATCTATAAAAAGGTTTTATTTAAAAGAGAACTATGGGGTAAGTGTTTTTCCCCATAGTTCTCTTTAGGGTCACGGGAGGACACATATTAACCTCTCCCCGTTTCCCAAAGCTCAGTGTACTGAGAACGCCTCAGCCGGGACTGATCCCGACAATACGGTCAAGATCCACCATTAGCTTGAGTGAAAGCTGGCTCTGCCTATCTCTCTCAGCGCTGGAGGATCGGAGAGGGGAGAATCCCTGCGGGGAGTGGTGACTGACAGTCACCGCTCACTGCTGGGAGATGATCGGGAAGTGAGCGGATCGGTGCATGTTTCTGCTCACTTCCCGATCAATACAGCTTCTTTGTCACAGGTCAGCTCTAACTATGGGGATGAAAGGAAATAACCTTAACCAGTTGACATCCGGGGTGTTAAACCCCCTTCCCATCCAGGCCATTTTTCAGTATTCAGCGCTGCGGTACTTTGACTGACATTTATTCCGTCATGCAGCGCTGTACTGAAATTAATTTTAGACGACGCATTAAAAGCTTTTACCGCTCATCAGTTTAGTGTTATCAGTGATTGATGGCCCTAAAATGATTGCTCTCACTGCGACGTTCGCTTCAATATGTAACATGTGTAGCGCAATTGTCATTTTCGCACGCTGGCGCATGCGACGCATATTTACATTTATACTGTATGTGCGTAAACGAAGGGGGGGGGACTTAAACATTGGGGGGGTTACTTTTTTTATTTGTGACTTTTATTTTTTTAACTTTTTTTGTTTGTGACTTTTATTTTGTTTTATTTTTATTTATATAGATTTTTTTTTTACACTTATTGTTATTGCTATTACATAGGGGGATACCATCCCCCTATATAATAGCACAGGTACACTGACAGGTCCTCTTTATGGAGACATTAGGGGTCTCTAGACCCCTAATGTCACCTGGAGACCCCAAAAGAAGCTGATGAAGCACAGATTTGCTTCATCAGCTTCTTCTCTCTGGCAGTAGGAGCCAGATGACTGACAGGTGAATGCGGAAGTGATGTAATACACATCACTTCTGCATTCACACTACAGAGGGAGAACAGCAAGGAGCTGATCTCCCTCCCTCCTTCTCCTGACGCCCTCCCGAGCCGGTCCCGGGCCGCAGATGGGCTAGCGGATCCCGGGATTAAAGGTGAGGGGTCAGGAGGGGGAGATGGCGGCACTCGCGATTGGGGATTGGGGGGGAGGCGCTCCGAAATTCACGCCATACAACCGATCGTCGGCTATAGAGCCGCTGATCGGTTGTATGTGAAACAGCCGTTAACGGCTGTAGTAACAAGCGGGTCTTTCCTGCCCGTGCGCGCACGCTAGGGGGCGCGCGCGAGCAGGAAAAAAATGCCGTCTGGCGACGGCAACCAGCTGATGCGAGTCTGCCGTCCGTACGTTTTTTCTTAACGGGCGGACGGCAAGAGGTTAAACAAAGCCTCTTGATCCAATGATCTTCTTCCTTCCACTTGTATTCAGCAATCCCTACAGTGCTGGTGTTGGCCTCTGATCTACCGCAGACTCCTGTCTTTTCCTGTCCCCCCGGTGTCTGTTCGATGTGCATGCTCCCAGCTACGTGCATTCACCTCCACTGCTTCTCTCCTCTCCTCCCCACCAAAGATCTGTACTGCGCATGCGCCCGCCCCATCATCCTCCTTTTCCTAATTACCTTTTTGGTAACTTTTGTATTGTTTTAAATGTTTTTGCGTATACTGTATCTATTGTTTGCTAGCAGTAGATATGCAAAAAAATATCAAAAATGGAGCAGACAGAAACATTTTTCTGTATATCCATATGCTGAAATGCTCATCAGTTTTCATTATGCTGGGTTTTTTTCATTGGCTCCGAAGTTAAGAGGGTGGACAAAGTTCCAGCTGATGCAGCTAATTGTAAATCCTCCTGTACTGTACTCTTTCAGTGGGGGTAATGAGCCCAGGAGCAACTTGTGTGTGGTATTCATTTAATGAGTATAACACAAGAACCAGCTGAAATTCATTCAGTGTAACTGTGTAGCTATGTACAAAATAATAATAATACTATTAATACTAATAAGAAGACAAAGAACAAGAACTAAAGCCACAAAATCAACAGCGCCAGCGTCTGAATTTTTTTTGAAAGAGCAAGATGTCTATCGGCATCTTAGCAGATCTCATGCACACATAAAATATAACTATTGCCCCAGACAGCAGTAAACTAGCCATTGACACCCAAGCCCTAGTACAAGATGAGCCCAGATTCTTCCCTTTGGTGCCACTCTTCATATCACACAACACAGAGCATGCTGAGTTGCCAGTGTCATTGCTGCACAGGAGTGATGCTCATAATATGATGATATACTTGATCATATGAAGTGGGATGCAAGGGTGTGCTTTATGTTAAAAGTAAGAGCAGCACTGGAACAGGGCCCAGTCATATCTATGGCAACTTCAACCTTCCTATATTCCTACATTCCTATATTTGTGAACATTAGCAGAATGTAGCCAAATAATCCAATGTGTAAATGTGGACATTTACAGTATGTAGATATTTATTTTTACCATCATTCATCACTTTGCAATGTCTGACTTTCTGTTCATTTCTAAAGCTGGCCATATTTAGACTTGTAAACATGATCCAATTATCACATTATGGTTGTATCTCAGCTGTAGCTAAAAACCAGAAATGCTGGGGTAGCATGCAACTTCTTGTTTAGAAGATAGAAGAAGAAGAATAGTTGGTTGAGTGTTCAGAAACTCCTAGTGCCAGCCTATGTTAGGGAAAACAATAGCAACTAGCCACTGTCAGAGCATGCCTTATACAATTTAAAGCCACATCTAAAGTCCCTAAGCTTCTGAACCCCAGGCAAATGTAATGTGACATCAGTTAATGCAGTTATGTATTCATTAAAACATCATAAAATGCACAACAGCACTAAGGCCCCTTTCACATGGCGGTTTGATCAGGTCTACCTGTCACTGTTTTTCAGACAGACTCGATCAGATGCCCAATGCTAGTCTATGAGCAACCAGGTCTAAGCAAACGGGCATCCTTATACACCCGGTTATAACCCCCACCTCCGCTCCGGCCAGATCTAGAAAAACAAACAGAACAGTGCTCCCTTTTGATGGACCTGATTGTGCCGGATTGAACACATGTCCATTTACATCCAATTACCCATTGACTAACATGTGGTCCAGTCATTCCAGTATTATTGCTCCACTGCAAGATGGAGAAAAAAATGGGCAGACATGGATGTCACTGTGGTGACATCCAATTTGTACCGCTCTGATCAGGATCCCCTCCTGACCAGCAATGAGAAAGGGGCCTTACAATGGAAGGTGGAATGGCAG